CTGCTGCTCTAGGTGCTGGTGAGGCTGCTGCTCTAGGTGCTGGTGCGTCCTCTGCTCCAGGTGCCGGTGAGGCTGCTGCTCTAGGTGCTCGTGAGTCTACTGCTCCAGGTGCTGGCGAGTCTGCTCTCTCTGGTGCTGCGCCTGCTGCGGTCTTGCACACCTTCACCCTTGACTCGGGTGCTTCCCGCTCCTTCTTTTGAGACTGCACCACACTCACGCCGCTTAGTCGGCCGGTTGCAGTCTCCCTGGCAGACCCCTCTGGGGGTCCTATCCTTGCCCACTACTCCACTGTCCTACCGTGTCCGGCGGCCCCGTCTGGCTCCCTGTCAGGTCTTTACCTCCCCTCGTTCTCTACGAACCTGGTGAGTGGTGCTGACCTACAGGATGGAGGGGTTGACCAGTTCACTCCTGCGAGTCAGCGAGTGACCCACTGCACGTTTACCCGTCAGCCGGGGTCGAGCCTGTACACACTGACTACCGAGTCTCCTCCGACTACTGCGTCTGGTCAGGTAGCTGCGTCGCGTCAGGTGTTTGCTGCAGCGTCTCGGTCTGGTCCTGAGTCTGCCCCCTGCTCGTGTCGCCTCCTGTCCCACCAGACTCTCCTCTGGCACCAACGCCTTGGGCACCCCTCCCTGCCTCGTCTCCGAGGCATGGCCTCCCGTGTCCTTGTCTCTGGTCTCCTCCGGTCCCTCCATCCCCTTCCTCCGGGGCCTGCCCCTACCTGCGTTCCCTGCGTCGAGGGGCGGCAGCGCGCCGCTCCTCACTCCTCCGAGTTTCCTCCGACCGAGGCTCCACTGCAGACTCTCCACATGGACGTGTGGGGCCCAGCCCGCGTCCGTGGACAGGGTCACGAGCGTTACTTCCTGCTGGTGGTTGACGACTACTCGCGTTACACCACAGTCTTCCCCTTGCGCCGCAAGGGTGAGGTCACTGAGGTGTTGATCGACTGGATCCGCGCTGCCCGTCTCCAGCTCAGAGAGAATTTCGGCTCGGACTTCCCTGTTCTGCGTCTGCACTCCGACAGAGGTGGAGAGTTTTCCTCCAACCTTCTGCGAGCCTTCTGTCGTGCGGAGGGCATCCGCCAGACATTCACGCTTCCGGCCTCTCCACAGCAAAATGGGATTGCTGAGCGCCGCATTGGCATGGTCATGGACGTCGCTCGTACGTCCATGATCCATGCGGCTGCTCCCCATTTTCTGTGGACGTTCGCGGTTCAGTACGCGGCGCATCAGATCAACCTTCAGCCCCGGGTCTCCATGCCGGAGACCTCCCCTACTCTGCGGTGGACGGGGAAGGTTGGCAATGCGTCTGCGTTCCGTGTCTGGGGATCTCGAGCTTTCGTCCGCGACTTGTCTGCGGACAAGCTGTCCTCTCGTGCTGTTCCTTGCGTCTTCCTTGGCTTCCCCCCTGACGCGCCTGGTTGGCAGTTTTACCACCCCACCTCGCGCCGTGTTCTGTCCTCCCAGGACGTCACGTTTGACGAGTCGGTTCCTTACTACCGTCTCTTCCCCTACCGCGCTGCCCCCCTCCCCCCCCCGCTGCTCTTTCTCGCGCGAGGTCCCCCCCCGGAAGACCCCCTCCCCCCTCAGGGTCCTGCCCCCTCAGGTGTGTCCCAGGTAGACGCAGTCGAGCCTGTCGAGGTAGCTGTTGACTCTGGTGCTGTTAGGGGTGCTGAGCCTGCGGGTGCCGGGTCTGGGGGTGCTGAGCCTGAGCGTGCGGAGCCTGGGGGTGCTGAGCCTGGGGGTGCTGAGCCTGGGGTTGCTGAGTCTGGGGGTGCGGAGCCTGAGGGTGCTGAGCCTGGCGGTCCTTCGGGTGCTTCGTCCAGGCGGGAGCCACTCTCTCCACAACAGCTGCGCGAGTGGTTTGCTCGGCGCTGGAGCCGTGCTGCTTGAGCTGGTGGTCCTGCCGGCGCTGGAGTTTCTACTGCTGTTGGGGGTGCTGGAGCCACGGGTCCCGAAGGTGCTCGTACTGGAGGTACTGGAGCTGCTGGGCCTGGTGGTGCTACTGGTGCTGGAGCTACTGGCGGTGCTAGAGCTGGCGGTGCTGCTGGAGTAGGTGCTGCTGGAGGTACTGGAGCCGGAGCTGCTGCGTCTTCCGGTGGTCCTGCTGGAGCTGGAGCTGCTGGAGGTGCTGGCGCTGGAGGTGCTATTGGAGCCGGTGCTGCTGTGGGCGTTGGAGTTGGCGCTTCTGGAGCAGCTGGTGGTGCTACTGGAGCTGGTGGCGCTAATGGAATCGGAGCTGACACTGGGGGTGCTGGTGTTGTCCCTGCTGGTTCTGGAGGTGCTGCGCGACCACGGCCGTACTTCGTTCCGCTCCTTGAGCAGGTTCTTGGTCTTCCGCCTTCTACTGGTCCTGCTCCTTCCTTAGAGTGTCCACCGCCTGTCCAGTTCGAGTCACAGTTACAGCTGGCCTCCCCACTGCCTGCTCCTTCTCCCTACACTGGTCCTACTGGAGGTCTTGCTGAGCGTCGTGAGCCTGAGTCTCGTCCTGCGTCGCCTGTTCGTGCTACTCGCACTGGTCGTCGTGTTCCGCGTCAGCGTCCTGCGGTCCCGGGCACGCACAGGATGGCACTGCGTCCTTCCACTACTCCACAGCGTGTCCCTTTGCCGTCTCCTCCAGAGTCTTCTCTTCCTTCTCTTGCTGACCCGGAGTCTGACTCCCTTCGTGCTGCCAGTCCTACTGTCACGCGTCTCCTAGCTACTGATGTCACTGACCCTTCCTTTGAGTCAACTGCTGCGTCTGCCTTAGTTGCTGAGCTTGTCGACTTTGCTGCTCACTGTCGTCTAGACTACGCCGCGAGTCTTGTTGCTGAGTCTGACTCTGTCTGTCCTCCGTCCGTCGGGGGTGAGTGTGCTCTTAGAACGGACGTCCTTGAGGACAGGCAGGAGGAGTTCTAGTGTCTTGCTGCTGCTTTACCTCATCTCGTGCCCATGCTAGTTGCCCCTGAGGGAGACCCGGATGCACCAAACATCCCGACCCCGCGCTCTTACGCAGAGGCGATAGAGGGTCCCTACTCCTCTCAGTGGCAGTCAGCCATGGACGCAGAGATGGCTTCCTGGAAGTCCACAGGCACCTACGTCGACGAGGTTCCCCCACCTGGGGCGAACATCGTCAGTGGCATGTGGATTTTCAGGGTGAAGCGGCTGCCGGGTTCTCCGCCTTTCTTCAAGGCGCGCTACGTGGCTCGAGGCTTCAGTCAGCGGCAGGGAGTTGACTACTTTCAGACTTTCTCTCCCACCCCGAAGATGACCACTCTTCGGGTGCTGCTGCACATTGCCGCTCAGCGCGACTACGAGCTTCACTCTCTTGACTTCAGCACTGCTTTCCTACAGGGCAGCCTGCACGAGGAGATCTGGCTGCGCCGCCCACCTGGCTTCACTGGGTCGTTTCCTCCTGGTACCCAGTGGAGCCTCCGGCGGCCAGTCTACGGTCTCTGCCAGGCGCCCCGTGAGTGGCACGACACACTGATGACTACGCTTGCGGCTCTTGGGTTTGCCCCTTCCACTGCTGACCCGTCGCTGTTTCTACGCACCGACACCACTTTACCGCCGTTCTACATCCTCGTGTACGTCGACGACTTGGTCTTTGCTACTGCTGACACTGCTGGACTCGCCCACGTGAAGTCCGAGCTGCAGAAGAGACACACGTGCACAGACCTGTGTGAACTGCACAGCTATCTTGGCTTGCATATCACCCGGGACAGAGCACGGCGCACCATTACCTTGACTTAGTCACACATGGTGCAGCAGGTCCTTCAGCGCTTCGACTTCACGTACTCCTCGCCTCAGGCCACTCCTCTGTCTACTCGCCACTCGCTCTCAGCTCTGCCTTCGGATGAGTCCGTAGAGCCGAGTGGCCCGCACCCAGAGCTTGTTGGCTGCCTCATGTACCTGATGACCTGCACTCGACCTGACCTGGCATACCCTCTTAGCATCTTGGCACGCTATGTTGCTCCTGGGAGACACCGACCAGAGCACATGGCTGTAGCGAAGAGGGTGTTGCGCTACTTGTGCAGTACGTCGGGCATGGGGCTAGTGCTTGGAGGGCAAAGTCCAGTGGTCCTCACTGGTCACGTAGACGCGTCTTGGGTTGACGACTTGGCTACGCAGCGGTCGTCACAGGGTTACACCTTCAGCCTTGGTTCCGGCTCTGTTTCGTAGCGGTCTACCCGCTCGTCTTTTGTTCTCAGCTCTAGCTGTGAGGCTGAGATCTACGCAGGGGCCATGGCTGCACAGGAGTTACGCTGGCTCACCTACCTGCTGACTGACCTGGGAGAGCCGCCTCGTTCTCCTCTAGTTCTGTACGTAGACAACAAGGCCATGCTGGCCTTGTGTCAGGAGCACAGACTGGAGCACAGAACGAAGCACATTGCTCTTCGGTACTTCCTTGCTCGTGAGCTGCAGCAGCGTGGTCAGCTGCGCCTTGCTTACGTGGCCTCTCGGGCCAACACTGCTGATATCTTCACCAAGGCACTTCAGCCTTGTGATCATCAGCGCTTCTGTACTATGTTAGGTCTTTTACCTGCGTGGCCTCACTTGCTTACCTCTTGACTTTGCTTTGTACTGTGATCTATATATACCTGCACCTGCATGTTTACCTTTATATATCATCCTGCATGTGAACTGGCCTTGTGGCCTTTGAACTTGTGCTCGGAATGTGTGGTGACGTTGTGATCCACCCTGAGCTTGCTGTGCTTTGCTTGACTAGTCTTCTGACCTCTTGTTCTCCCCCACTTTGCCTATGGGGGTGTGTCAAACATTTATCATATAGCCTGTCTAGGCTATAGTGGGGTAGACACTAAGGGGTACAGTTTCCTAGGGTTTCCTACTTGTACCCAACCTTGTTCTAGTTCACCCATCCCTTTTTCTTCACACGCTTCAGCTGACCTTGCGGGCGCTTGCGCTCCGGGAAAGTGGGGACAGCCACTCGAGGAAGGGCAGGGCGAGCAGCTTCGAAGCTACTACTCGGTTCATCCTCGGCAGAAGCACTAACGGGAGGAGATGGCTGGGGCAAGACGGGGCGAGGAGACGTCCGTGCGCGTGCAGTAGCGGAAGAAGGAGTGTTACATGGCCGCTGGCGCCTAACTACTGTACTGCTTAAATCGGGAGAGGAAGCCATTCTCTACTACAGATTGGTGTCACACGCCATGCAAGGAAGGCCTATAAACAAAGATTTGGCTGGTGTAGGACGGAGGCGCTCTCACAGCCTGCCGAGCATTGTTTAGTATCAGGCACTAGAACTGCTGTACGAGGAGAAGTTTGAGCCTCTTGAGGCACAGGGACGTGACCACACCAGTCAAGACGTGACTGGTACGGGGACAGCACAGCACCGTGCGCGATTCCGGCCCCAGTGGTTGCATGAATCCTCGCTGTGCAAGTTTGGCTGTGTTTTCACCCAATCAGGTGTCAGAGTTGCCCACTGGAATTTGCCATGTGGCAGATTCCAGTGGGGGGTCACGTTATCCTCGAATACTCGGTTTTGCGGCACTGACTAACAAACTAACAGTGAAGGCATTGAAGATAATTTTGTTTCACTTCGTTTCTGCTTAGAAAAAATGTACCATATAATAAGACACGGGTATTATATAGGATTTTCCGTTGAGAGGACCCCCCCCCCTCCCTTTTTCCTTGTGGTTATCATAATACCCCCGAGTGTTATGTCCGGAAGAATACGGATACCCTAAATGTTTAGGGTTGATGCCAAAACTAAATCCCTCTTGGCTGGCATGTTAATGAAAGGCATCAGCCCTAAACACCTAGTCACGTGGTGTTTAGGGTTGATGCCCTTGAAAACTTGCCATCCAAGAGGGGTTTAGTACTGTGCTTGCTAGCAGAAGACGGCCCCCAGGGCGCCGCGGCGGGTGACGGGAGGGGGGGCGACGCGAAGGCCCCCAGGGCGCCACGACGGGCGACGGGAGGGAACAGCGCGCGGGCCCCCGGGGCGCCACGACGGCGACGAAACCGCCGCGCGCTCCCGGGGCGCGCGGCGGGCAGGAAACCGCCACGCGCCCCGAGCGCGCGGCGGGAAGAAGAAGAAGAAGAAGAAGAAGAAGAAGAAGAAGAAGAAGAAGAAGAAGAAGAAGAAGAAGAAGAAGAAGAAGAAGAAAGAAGAAGAAGAAGAAGAAGAAGAAGAAGAAGAAGAAGAAGAAGAAGAAGAAGAAGAAGAAGAAGAAGAAGAAGAAGAAGAAGAAGAAGAAGAAGAAGAAGAAGAAGAAGAAGAAGAAGAAGAAGAAGAAGAAGAAGAAGAAGAAGAAGAAGAAGAAGAAGAAGAAGAAGAAGAAGAAGAAGAAGAAGAAGAAGAAGAAGAAGAAGAAGAAGAAGAAGAAGAAGAAGAAGAAGAAGAAGAAGAAGAAGAAGAAGAAGAAGAAGAAGAAGAAGAAGAAGAAGAAGAAGAAGAAGAAGAAGAAGAAGAAGAAGAAGAAGAAGAAGAAGAAGAAGAAGAAGAAGAAGAAGAAGAAGAAGAAGAAGAAGAAGAAGAAGAAGAAGAAGAAGAAGAAGAAGAAGAAGAAGAAGAAGAAGAAGAAGAAGAAGAAGAAGAAGAAGAAGAAGAAGAAGAAGAAGAAGAAGAAGAAGAAGAAGAAGAAGAAGAAGAAGAAGAAGAAGAAGAAGAAGAAGAAGAAGAAGAAGAAGAAGAAGAAGAAGAAGAAGAAGAAGAAGAAGAAGAAGAAGAAGAAGAAGAAGAAGAAGAAGAAGAAGAAGAAGAAGAAGAAGAAGAAGAAGAAGAAGAAGAAGAAGAAGAAGAAGAAGAAGAAGAAGAAGAAGAAGAAGAAGAAGAAGAAGAAGAAGAAGAAGAAGAAGAAGAAGAAGAAGAAGAAGAAGAAGAAGAAGAAGAAGAAGAAGAAGAAGAAGAAGAAGAAGAAGAAGAAGAAGAAGAAGAAGAAGAAGAAGAAGAAGAAGAAGAAGAAGAAGAAGAAGAAGAAGAAGAAGAAGAAGAAGAAGAAGAAGAAGAAGAAGAAGAAGAAGAAGAAGAAGAAGAAGAAGAAGAAGAAGAAGAAGAAGAAGAAGAAAAAAAAAAAAAAAAAAAAAAAAAAAAAAAAAAAAAAAAAACGTCACGCGCGCAGGGTGCGCGGCAGGCAGAAGACGTCGCGCACTCGAGGCTCGCGACAGGTAGGACAGCAGCAGAAGCTAACGGTGGGCCCATCCACAGGATCGACCAGGGAGGGTCGACTTGCTCTGATAGCATGTCGAAACAGTAGGCAGAAACTAGAAACAGGAAAGAGGAGGTTGAACTAGCAGCAGCAGGATACGTATAGGAAACCCTAAATTGGGCTGTACTCGCTATAGAGTACCCCACTGCAGGCTAGACAAATATAACATTCTGACACCTTATTGCAGCGGAATTCAAACCGTGCGGCGCAGGAACCAGTTTCAAAACTGTTTCCGCTCTTTTCGTTTCAAATGTTATTACGGTTGCTGGTGTCGCTTCGACTCTTCTGACGCCTCGACTTCGTACTCGGTCGAGTTGACTCCTGCAGCATACAGGAATGCCTTCCCGTAAAGTTTCATATCGTACAAGAGAGGGCAATCAGGGCATTTTACCCTTGGAAAAAGATCACTTGCTTTAAACCTCTAAACTCATCGGAAACATGTGTCAGAAACAAGAAGTGATTGGACTAGAAACATGGGTGGTACAAGTATCAAACCCTAGAGTATTGTACCCCCTAAAGGCTAACCCACTGTAGCCTACACAGCAATAACATATATAATGTTTGACACACCCCCATAGGCTAAGTGGGGGAGAGCAAGGGGTCACAAGACCAGTCAAGAAAGACAAGGCAAGCTCAGGGTGGATCACAACGTCACCACACACTCTGAGCACAAGCAGAGGGCCACAAGGCCAGTTCACATGCAGAGGCATATATGCAGTACAATCAACACCGTGGTCTCGATCTAGCAAAGCAAGCATGCACGTATATGTATATATAGAGATCACAGTACAGGCGAAGCCTACAGCAAGTGAGGCAAGGTGGGCACAAGCCCTAGCAAAGTGCATAAACGCTGATGATCACCAGACTGAAGTGCCTTGGTGAATATATCAGCAGTGTTGGCCTGAGTGGCCACGTAACGCAGACGAAGCTGACCACGCTGCTGCAACTCTCGAGCCAGGAAGTAACGCAGAGCGATGTGCTTCGTTCTGTGCTCCAGTCTGTGCTCCTCACACAAGGCAATGGCAGCCTTGTTGTCGACGTACAGCACTGGAGGAGAACGAGGCCGCTCTCCCAAGTCGGTCAGCAGGTAGGTGAGCCAGCGTAACTCCTGTGCAGCCATGGCTGTGGCGTAGATCTCAGCCTCACAACTGGAGCTGAGAACAGAAGACGAACGAGTAGAACGCCAAGAAACTGAACCAGAGCCAAGGCTGAAGGTGTAACCCTGTGACGACCGCTGAGTAGCCTGGTCGTCAACCCAAGAAGCGTCTGAGTGCCCAATGAGAACAACTGAGCTCCTCCCTCCAAGCACTAGCCCCATGCCTGATGTACTGCACAAGTAGCGCAGTACCCTCTTAGCAGCAGCCATGTGCTCAGGCCGGTGCCGACCAGGAGCCACGTAGCGAGCCAGGAGACCAAGAGGGTACGCGAGGTCAGGTCGAGTGCAAGTCATCAGGTACATGAGGCAGCCAACTAGCTCTGGGTAAGGACCACTCGGCTCTACGGACTCGTCCGAAGGTGGAGCTGAGAGCGAGTGACCTATAGCCAGAGGAGTGGCCTGTGCTGAGAACCAGGTGAAGCCGAAGTGTTGAAGGACTTGCAGCACCATGTGTGACTAAGTCAGGGTAATGGTGCGGCGTGCTCTGTCCCGGGTGATCCGCAAGCCAAGATAGCTTGTCAGCTCACCCAGATCTGTGCACGTGTGTCTCTTCTGCAGCTCCGACTTCACGTGGGCGAGAGCCTCAGTGTCAGCAGTGGCAAAGACCAAGTTGTCGACGTACACGAGGATGTAAAACGGCGGCAGCGAAGTGTCGGTGCGCAGAAACAGCGACGGGTCAGCAGTAGAAGGCGCGAACCCAAGAGCCGCAAGTGTAGTCCTCAGTGTGTCGTGCCACTCACGTGGCGCCTGGCAGAGACCGTAGACCGGCCGCCGGAGGCTCCACCGGGTACCAGGAGGAAACGACCCAGTGAAGCCAGGAGGGCGGCGCAGCCAGATCTCCTCGTGCAGGCTGCCCTGCAAGAAAGCTGTGCTGAAGTCAAGAGAGTGAAGCTCGTAGTCACGCTGAGCGGCAACGTGCAGCAGCACCCGAAGAGTGGTCATCTTCAGGGTGGGGGAGAAGGTCTGAAAGAAGTCTACTCCCTCTCGCTGACTGAAGCCTCGTGCAACGTAACGAGCCTTGAAGACAGGCGGAGAACCTGGCGGCCGCTTCACCCTGAAAATCCACATGCCACTGACGATGTTCGCCCCAGGAGGGGGAACCTCGTCGACGTAAGTGCCAGTGGACTTCCAGGATGCCATCTCTGCATCCATGGCTGCCTGCCACTGAGAGGAGTACTCACCCGCGATCGCCTCAGCGTAAGAGCGCGGGGTCGGGATGTCTGGAGCATCCGGGTCTCCCTCAGGTGCAATCAGCATGGACACGAGATGAGGTACAGCAGCGGCAAAGCACTCAAAGTCCTCCTGCCTGTCCTCAAGGACGTCCGTGCCCAGAGCACACTCACCCCCGACGGACGGAGGACAGACAGACTCAGACTCAGCAACAAGACTCGCAGCGTAGTCTAGACGACAGTGAGCAGCAAAGTCGACAAGCTCAGCAACTAAGGCAGACGCAGCAGCGGACTCAAAGGAAGGGTCAGTGACAACTGTGGCGAGCAGACGCGTGACAGTAGGACTAGCAGCACGAAGAGAGTCAGACTCCGGGTCAGCAACGACAAAAAGAGAAGACGCAGGAGGAGTCGGCAGAGGGACACGCTGGGGAGCAGTGGAAGGACGTAGAGTCATATAGTGAGTGCCAGGGACAGGAGGAGGACGCTCACGCGGAACACGGCGACTAGTGCGGACAGCACGGACAGGCGACTTTGGACGAGACTCAGGTGATGCAGGACGAGACTCAGGCGATGCAGGACGAGACTCAGGCTCACGACGCTCCGTAAGACCTCTAGTCGGCCCAGCGTAAGGAGAAGGACCAGGCAGCGGAGAGGCAGGCTGGAACTGTGATTGCGACTGGACAGGCGGAGGACACTCTAAGGAGGGAGCAGGACAAGGAGGAGGCGGCTGACCAAGAACCTGCTGAAGGAGCGGAACGAAGTACGGTCGCGGCCGGGAAACGCCCCCAGAACCAGCAGAGACAGCACCAGAACCCCCAGCAGCAGCTCCAACTCCTGTAGCACTACCAACAGCTCCAGTAGTGCCAACTCCAGGACCCCCAGTAGCACCAGCTCCAGCTGCACCGTCGGCTCCAGCACCTGCAGGAGGACGAGTGGCAGCACCTCCAGCTCCAGCCCCTGCAGCACCACCAGCCCCAGTACCAGTAGCACCACCAGCAGGACTAGTACCCGCAGCACCTCCAGCAGCTCCAGTACCTCCAGCAGCACCAGCAGCACCTCCAGTAGCTCCAGGACCTCCAGCAGCAGCAGGGCCTCCAGCAAGCGGCACCTCAAAACTAGGAGCTCCACTCCGTAGGCTGCAGCGGCGAGCGTACCACTCACGTAGCCGCTGAGGGGAGGGAGGCTCCGGCCGCAACTCAGTACCCGCAGCACCACCAGCCCCAACTCCAGTAGAACCCCCAGCTCCAGTAGCCCCACGTCGGAGGCTGTAGCGCTGAGAGTACCACTCACGCAGCTGCTGTGAAGAGGGAGCGCCACCAGGCTCAGCACCCCAAGTCGCAGCACCCCCAGGCACAGCACCCCCAGGCTCAGCACCCTCAGTCTCAGCACCCCCAGGCTCAGCACCCCCAGTCTCAGTACCCCAAGGCTCAGCACCCGCAGTCTCAGCACCTCCAGGCTCAGCATTCGCAGTCTCAGCACCCCCAGTCTCAGCACCCCCAGGCTCAGTACCCCGCTTAGGACCAAAGTCAACAGCTACCTCGACAGGCTCGACTGCGTCTACCTGGGAAACACCTGAGGGAGCAGGACCCTGGGGAGGGAGGGGGTCTACCGAAGGGGCACCTGGGGTGAGGAAGAGAGGCGGGGGAGGGAGCGGAGCAGTGCGGTAGGGGAACAGACGGTAAAAGGGTACCGACTCGTCAAAAGTGACGTCCTGAGAGGGGAAGACACGGCGCGAGGTGGGGTGGTAAAACTGCCAACCAGGCGCTTCGGGGACAAAGCCAAGGAAGACACAGGGCACAGCGCGGGCGGAGAGCTTGGCCGCAGTGGTATCGCGGACAAAGGCACGAGCACCCCAGACCCGGAAACGCGACGCATCGCCAACCTGCGCCGTCCACCGCAGTGTGGGCGAGGTCTTTGGAGCAGAGACACGGGGCCAGAGGTTGAGCTGATGCGCAGCGTACCGGACTGCAAACGGCCACAGGAAATGGGGGGAAGCCGCATGGATCAAGGAGGTACGAGCGATCTCCATGACTAAGCCAATGCGGCGCTCAGCAACCCCATTCTGCTGTGGAGAGGCCGGAAGCGTGAACGACTGGGTGATGCCGTGCTCCGCACAGTAGGCTGCCAAGAGGTCGGAGGAAAACTCACCACCTCGGTCAGAGTGCAGACGCAGGACGGGAAAGTCCGACTGGAACCGCTCGCGGAGCTGGAGACGAGCAGCGCGGATCCAAGGGATCAAAACATCAGGGACCTCACCCTTGGTGCGCAAGGGGAAGACCGTGGTGTAGCGCGTGTAGTCGTCGACAACCAGCAGGAAGTACCGCTCGTGGCCCTGTCCACGGACGCGGGCTGGGCCCCACACGTCCAGGTGGAGAGTCTGCAGGGGAGCCTCTGTGGGAGGGAACGAGGAGGAGTGAGGAGCGGCGCGCTGCCGCCCCTCGACACAGGGAAGACAGGGAGGAGCAGGCGAGGGTGGGAGGGGAGGGAGAACCCTGGGAAGACCAGAGACAAGGTACCGGGAGTGCATGCCGCGAAGACGCTGCACTGACGGGTGACCAAGGCGGTTGTGCCAGAGGACAGTCTGGTGTGACAGGGAGCGACACGAGCAGGGGGCCGGCAGCTGACCTGGCGCAGACGCAGACGCAGCTACCTGAGGGGACTCAGTGGTCAGTGTGTACAAGTCCGACCCCGGCTGCCTAGTGAAGGTAGCCAGGTGGCGACCCGTCCGAGCACACGTACAGTGGGTCACACGCTCATAGGCAGGGGTGAACTGGTGAACACCCCCGTCCTGTAGAGCAGAGCCCGCCACCAAGTTCGTAGAGAACGAGGGGAGGTAAAGACCTGACAGAGTGCCGGACGGGACCGCAGGACAAGGGAGGATAGTGGAGGAGGTCGCAAGGACTGGGCCCGCAGAGGGGTCAGCGAGGGAGACAGCAACTGGCCGAGCTAGCTGCTCAAGGGCAGTGCGGTCACGGAAGAAACAGCGGGAAGCACCCGAGTCCAGTGTGAAAGTGTGGAGTGCCTCAGCAGACGCAGGACCAGCAAGCGCAGACGCACGAGCACCTGGGGGAGCAGACTCACTAGCACCAAGG